TTGAAAGGAGTTTCTATAAATTAAGCAGATATGAGCAATATTTTAAACAATTAAGTAACACATACTTACCAATAGATGATGTGTTGCTGCGTTTCATTATGGCAGGCTTTATAGTAGCAGGTATTTTATTGATAATTAAATTTGACCCAGCTTCCAATTTCAATATAGGTTTCTATGAAACGAAATTAAATAAGTTAGCAATGACATAAAACAAATGTCTCTAACAAAAGCACTTGTTGAACTCTAAGCTACGAAATTTATAGCTAATATTACTTAACATACACAGGCTTTTTATATATTGAAATAAATAATGCATGTTATCTGCTGGCCCAAACAATTTCCACATTTTTGCTGCTGTGGCCTTGCTATTGACAAAAGGGCGCCATCAGCAAGTTACACACTTTCTAAGCAATTCTTTGTTCTTTCAACCATAAGAAATCACTATTAACAATAGTAATAACAATATTTAATAGTCACCTAAACAATGCAATATTATTTTTAAAAAGTTTTTATCACAAACAGATTAAAATCACTACAAATTCGAAGAAAATTAAATGCAGCGCGTTGTTCACGAAATTTGTGAATTAGATCTTATGCTCTAATGTATCACTCTCTCTTTTCAATAGAAAAAGAAAAAAGTATAATACAACGTGGAGATCTCCGTTAGTGCTGCCATATTTTAGTTAGGTTTAACGAATTGAGCAAGCTTAAAAATAATATATCATCTACAGAAATAGTAACAAAAATTTTCTTTAATTTTTTATGAAAAAATTGGTTTATAAAGCTTTTAAAAAAATTAACGATTTCACACACAAGACCTTTGACCAATTTGGTGTGCACACATATATATATTTGTTGATAAAGTATATAAATTAAAAAGTTTTCGATATTCTGCTTAAATTCTGCTGTTTTATATCCGCTCACACTTAACTAAATATATACGTATATATAAACATATATTAGACAAAATAGGGGAATCCTACTCACACAGCCTAAATAATAAATATGTGACCTGGTCTACGAAAAGGGAGCTAACGTGCGAAAACTAGTTTATGACTTTTTGGATTCTATCACGTGAAAAGCATCTCATCTTCCATCCGAATCAACTAAGATTTTTTGACACCTAAACCCCCTTTCCGAAGACCAGGTCACATA